AGGTGTTTTCTCTGAATGTAGCTGAAGACTGAGGAGAGGCGGAGGATGGCTTGGAGAAGAGGGGGCCCGCCAGCCTGCTGGGGCTAGCATCTGGTCTCGTAGATCCCACTCCTGCCAATGTACCTCACCCATTTTATCACATCGTGGTCACTGTAGTTCAGCTTTGGCTCAAAGACTTTCAGGTAGCGCACCTTCAGCCCAGAGGGTGCAAAAGGGACCTGTGGAGAAAGGGAAAGGGAACGGAGGAACAGAGGGGTGAGATGCTCTCCATACACAAATGTGGCAGGACTCCTGAGCTACGCATCTAGAAATGGGCACAAAGAGCCATGGTTCCCTTCCCTACAACCTGCACACAGACTCTAGTGTCTCCAAGGGCAATTTTTTCCCACGAGCTTTGTACCTAGTTGGTCTCATGTTGGGAAGAGTTACACACCAGCCTGGGACAGGGAGCACCCCAACCTGTGCAGTCCCTGAGGGCAGAAGGGGCCGGGCTGACAAAGCTCCTCTATGGTTAGCTGCATGCTGGAAGGCAGACAGTGACTCACCTCGAAGTTCATGGAGATCGGGGGCCGAGCCCACTTCTTCTTGTCATTGGTGGGCAGCAGTTCAATCTCCGCACTGATCTGGGATTCCTTCATTCCAGCCATACGTTTTATCCTGTCAGGGAAAGCCCAGAGGTGAGAAGGTGCCCGAGTTTACTCCCCACTACCTGTACTCAGGGCAGAGAGGAGCCCTGAACAGACTCTGCCTCCCCAGGCCCTGCTCCTGCAGCACCCCAGACCCAACACATGCACTCACTTCCAGACAATGGCGTTCTCACTGGCCTTGTACTTTGCCTTCCCTTTCATACAGATGACCTGCACTCCGCTGGTGTTGAGGGGTGTTGGGATCCGGACCTGGAAGGCAGAGTCTGGTGAGCAGGGGCGAGGAGACTGCAGCCCAGGCACTCTGTGCAGACTTAGGGCAAGGCCACTTGTCCTGGACCACTTGGCTCTCTCTCTCCCATCTCAGGGCCCAGAGAAAAGCAGCCACCAGGAGGCAGTCCTAGGCCAGCTCACCACTTTCTTGAAGTAAAGAGTCAAACACATTTTCAGAATGACAACAGACAGTGAGGAGCAGGGCAGAGCTCTCCAGCTCAGGCTGCAGGAAGCCTGGCTGGCATCAGGCAGATGAGCTCAGGAAGGACACCAGGCTGGCCAGGAAGGTCTGGCTGCACCAGCCCAGCTTTGCAGCAGCAAGTCTTTCCCAGAAGGGAACTAGGCTGCAAAGCCACCCTTAGCCTGTCCTATACAGCTCATAGCCTGCTGCCTGCCTGACACACCATCAGATCACACAGAGAAGGGCACCAGCTTTTCAGTAGCCAAGACATTAAGTGAGTGGCTGCTGCCAAGGCCTCTCCCAAGGTAGCTGTACAAGTGAAATGATTTCCACCTTCCTTCCCATGGCACAGCGGCACCACATGTCTGTGGGGCATTCAGTTCACTCGGTCCTGTACAAGCTTGCGGACTCATCCGTGAGGACTCTGCAGCAGGGGACAATTCCCAGGCACAAGCGACCATGGGTTTTTATTCTCTTACCTCTATCTTCTGGGCCAGCAAGGAAGGTTTGAAATTTGATTTGATCACCACCTTCACTTCCAGCTTGGTCCGACCCACCTCCCGCACCAGTGGGATCACACGGAAGGGAAGGATAATGTCCTTAGTGGTTCGGTATCTGCAGGGATGGAAGCAACAGTGAACTCTTAACTCCCTTATGGCCTCAAATTGTACCAGCCTCTGCATCCAGGGAACAGTTTAGAAACATCATCCAGAAAGGAAGCCATCCCAGAAAGAAGTAGCAGCAACATCTGTGCTGCTGTAGGGCAGTGATAGTTTGAGTCCCAAATTTTCTGTCTGCTTCTCGCCAGTGGCCCTATTTAAGGACACCGCTTTTAAGCCCTGAAAAAACAGATAGAGCAAGCTGAAGAGTGAGGAAACCCACATCCAACGCTATGGTTGTGGCAGAGAAAACCACACAGCTGGGCTTCTACCACATTTGTAAACGGAAGCATCTGCGGGACACCCTACAGATTCTGCTCCGAAAACAAGACAGCACAGGCACACTCATTAGGTGCTCAAGGGCTGCAAGTCTGCCCCACGGCAGCAACACCACTGCACCAGCAAGCAGGTGCCACCACCAGCCTGTTCATCCCCCACCACAGTACCTCATGAGCTCAAACTCTCCATCTGGTGGAATGAAGCTGATGCTCCTCTCGGAATCAAACTTGCTGAGCCTCACACACTGGTGGAAAGTGCAGTCGTCGATGGCGATGGACTGTTTGCCACTGAAAACACAAGACACAGTTAAACAAGCACGAGCTGCAGCCCCAGGCTCTTGGTGCAGTCAAAGTCTGCCCAGGCAGAAACTACTCTATAGAGCATGTTGCCATCGCAGGTGTCCAGGAAATGGGGAGGCAGGGAGAGATTTAGGGAACAGCAACCTCTTGGCTCAGACTTTCCTTGTTTCACCACCATGAGAGATATTATTTCAGGGAGCTTGTTTGAAAGAACTCTCTCCCTCCTCTCACCAAAGACGAGAGATTAGAGGAGCACCCTTCTGTCATAGCCAGCAACACAGCACATGGGCCTGCCTGCCAGCAGCACCTCAGGACTGCACAGGCACCTCTGCTGGCCCAAGTATTCCCACAGCACAGTTCAAACGAAAGAAAACACTTTCCTGTCCACAAAGCTATCCCACTGCCACACAGCCAGGAGGTGCCAGGCTTGGGGCCTTCCTGTTCAGAAAGCACTTCACAGCTGTCAGCTCTCACTGCTAGCAGGTGGTTTGATCCTAAACCAACCTACAACCAAAAGCTATAACATTATGCCATAAAAGTTCTATCTTCCACTTCTAAAAATCTACACAGCATCCATCTGCTCAGGGAAGATCTTATTGCTCTCTAGAACTCCCTGAAAGGAGGTTGGAGTGAGGTGGGGGTTGGTCTCTTCTCCCAAGTAACTAGTGATAGGACAAGAGGAAATGGGCATAAGTTACACCAGGGGAGGTTTAGGTTGGATATTATGAAGAATTTCTTGATTGAAAGAGTGCTGAGGCACTGGAACAGGCTGCCCAGGGAGGTGGTGGAGTCACTGTCCCTGGAAGTGTCCAAAAATGTGTGGACATGGTACTTTTGGACATGGTTTAGTGGTCATGGCAGTGTTGGGCTGATGGCTGGACTTGACCTTAGAAGTCTTTTCCAACTTTAATGATTCTGTCATCTCGGTGCACTGGCCTAACCTGCCAGTGCTGAACTCATGCTGGGTTCCAGTCTCTGAGAATGCCTTCCCTGCTACAGGTCCTCAGGTCAGACAAGAGCTCTCAGCTACCAAGAGGGACCAGAAAACGAGACGGCAGCAGCAACAGAAGAGGCAGCAGTGCAGAGAAGGTGCAGCAGCACAGCACTGCGATATCTAGGCTGCCTCAGCTGCTGGGAGCAACAGGACAACCGGGTGGTCCCAACCCAGCTGTCCTGGGCAGCACCCTTACCTGCACGAAGGGGAAGCAGACTGACCCCAGGCTGAGCAGCTGCTCTGTTACACAGCCCAGTGGTGCAGTTTGTGCTTCTTAAGTGGGAGTTAGTCCTTCCTAACCTGTCCCCCAGGTGACAGCCAGCACTAGCCAGCTAGTTCCTGTTTCTCTGGAAGACTGCTGGGAAAGCCCTGCTGCCTAGCACTGCTCCAGGTCTCAGGCAGCATTATTCAGGTTTTGGTGTTGCCACATGCTAGATGCCAAAAAAAGCATCTGGTAGCCACTGTCCCTTTTGGTCACCTCATAACTAAACACTTCTGGAAAGTAACACCTCAAAACTCTCACCCACTGGAGAACCACAGCTAGGGAGAGACACCTAGCAAGAGTCCCTGTGTCTGTCTTCTGTAACTCAAGAAAACAGCACACTGACAGGCAAAGGCACACGTGGCACAGCAGCTTTGGGCCACTGTTACCAACTCTTCAGAGGCCTACACAGTGATGTCTTCACTACAGTGCAGCCACATGAGGCTCATCCATTTCACTAGCTACATTTAGGTATAGGGAAGATGGCTTAAAGGTGACAGTGAAGCAATAGCTCTTGGCTTGGTTCTGAGAGAAAAGGCAAATAGCAGCTCAGCTCCATTTACAGGAACCATCACGGAAAGTGTCTGAGATCCAAGTCACATGCACAAGTCACACAAAGCAGGAGACAGGGGGAGAGCAGAGTGCACACACAGCTGAAGCAGGTTATCTACCTTCCCAATTCACTGGGGGTCAGCAAAAAAACAAAACAACCAAGAGAAACATAGTTGAGTTCCACATGGTTAGTGAGACACAAGTGGCAGTTCCTTTGCTTTTATCTCTTCACCCCAAGCAGGAAGGCTGGAAAAGGCCTAAGACTTGTTTTCAGCTTCAGTGGGGGTACTGAGATGAGCCTCCAACCCACACAGGCACAGAGCACCGGTGTGTCACCAGGAGGGGCTTACCCAGTGTTAGTCTGTCAGCTGTCCTAGCCTGTGGGAGCTGCCCAGGTAGAGCTGGCTACAGTAAGAGGGGCTCCTTCTCTGTTCTGTGGGAGCACTACTACTGCAGCCTATGAATCAGTCTCTGCACTGACTAGAGCTGCTAGAGACATATTTTTTTTTAAAAAATCTATCTTGGGAGAGTGTTCCAGCTGCAAGAACTCCACACTTAACACTATGTTTGAATCTTAACACTTAAGAAGCTGTAGAGAAGCCCTCTGTATCGAGGCTCTCAGGCTGGTAGCTTGCTTGACAACTGACCTACCCAAAGGGAAGGAAGGATCAGCTTTGTCCGGATCAGAACAGCTCTTGAGTGCTGCCCTTTCATAGGAGTTCCTGGTGGCAAGTGGCTTTTACCCCAACACCTCTTACCTTTTCCCCGTTTCATCCGCAGTCCCTTTGCCCTGTTTTTCAATGACAATCTTGTCATTCATGCCAAATTTGCACTCTGGCATTCCACTCAGGTAACTCTTCATCACCACTCTGCCAGAGACATGGGCACTCAGAACCTGACCTGGTGTGGAGAAGGACAGTTCAGAACGCTTAGGGAAGTCCCCACTCACAAACCCTGAAGGGGAGAAGGAAGCCAGCTCAGCACCTCCTACTTACCCTGCGGGGACATCAGGAGATTCACGCTCTCCAGCACATCAAGGAAGAGTTCGTTGCGACGGTATTTGATCCCTTCACGCCTCCATCCAATCTGTCCAGTCACCTGGCTGGTGATCTGGGACTGCTCTTCCTTAGTCTGAAGGAAAGAAACATCATCTTACTCTTCTAGATATATTCAAAGACTAAGAAACCCTGCTCTAAGAGCAACCTCTTGCCATTTATTGCACACAACTGCTTTTGACACTTAGATATGGGTGCTGTGACACCCACCATGACTTGGTCATTCTCTCCTCAATACAGCAAGTCCTATGCTTAATCAAAAATCGGTCATAACAGCAGGAAAGTTTCTTCCATTTTGTTTAGCCAGTCTGTTAGGCTACGTCTAAGTGCAGCAGGGAGGCATGGACCCCAGTAATGACATTCCAATCATTTCTCAGACTGTCACATCAATCTATGATAAGCAGAGAAGCAGCTGACAGGCCAATTGGTGCCCTTATCCAGCTGGAAGCCCTAGGGCCACAAGCCAGCTAGCTGCAGCTTCTTGATGACTGTGGTCACTGGAGTTACACACCAGCACTAAGCTAGCACATCTAACAGGCTCTAAGCCTCCTAAAAGCACCACAGACAGTGTTGAGAGGCACAAGGAGGTTTCCTACCTGGTGCTACAGGTGGAGTCCAGTCACAAGCAGAAAGTCAAGAGGTAGATGCAGAGCAGCAAGTGTGGTGCACACAGGGTTAACAGGCAAGCAGGTCAATAGCAAGAAAAGGGAGGAAGGGAGAAAGAGGCAGGTTAGGCTTAAGGCTACATCATGACAGGAACAAAGCAGGCCAGCTCATCATTAATTAGGTAGCTAATTAGCACAAATAAGATGAGGGGCTTTAGGAAATACAGTACTCCTAGCAGTGAAGTGGCTTTTCAGACTTGGCCTGTTATGCAGCACCCAAATACAAGGCAGAGCAGAGGCAGCAACAGGCCAAATACCACTCCAGTAAAAATTCCATGCAGAGCAGACTCATCATGTTGCCATTCCTAAATCAAGCCCCAGATGTTTACCACAGCACAGATGCCCTGACTATGGCAACTATCAGGCACCCAAGACTGCAGACATTTGAAGTCTGGGTCCTGTATAAAGTTATCATAGAATCATTAAAGTTGGAAAACTCCTCTAAGATAATCAAGCCCAACTGTCAACCCAACACTACCATGGGGACTAAACCCTGTCCCAAAGTGCCACATTCACACATTTTTTTGAATGCCTCCAGGGATGGTGACTCCACCTGCTGTTCCAATGCCTCAACACTCAGTCAAGATCAACACCCACCTCACCCCGACCTCCTTTCAGGCAGTTCTAGAGAGCAACAGGGTCTCCCCTCAGCCTCCTCTTCTCCAGACTAAACAATCTCGGTCGTGTCCTTGTGGATTCTGGCTCTTCCACCACAGGGACTGCTCCAGGCGGAAGCGGGTCCTGCTGCAGCAGCCCTGGGCTGGGCCCACAGGGTGGCAGTGCACGATCTCAGCTGCAGCCCAGCCCTGCCTCGGTTTCACACAAGCTCTTGCCACAGGCGTGGTCACTCCTCCAGCAAGCAGAGCCATTATCTTGTCACCTCAGAGAAAGGAGTTTATGCTCCCCTGAGAGCTGCCTGGGTAAGAACTCAATGCAGTACAAAAGACCTCCCCTGTCTGGCCCGCCAAAAAAACAAGCCTCCTTAGATGCTTTGTTCAGGCATAAGCAGAAAGTGAGGCACACGTGTTTATAACACCCAGTTCTCTGGCTTCCAAAGAGAGACTGATCACGTGCTGACATTCCCATCTCCTGCAACAGCATCGGTGCCACAAGCCTCCACTGGCTGCTACAGAACATAACTGGATGGACCTGGAAGCAGGTGCTTGGGGGGTGGTCACCCAGCAGCCTGAGTGTTCCCAATGGGAGGGACTGAAGGCACCCCAGTATGAAGTTTCTCAGGACTGAGAGCTTCCCTGAGCTGGATGAATAAATCAGCTAAAATGGGACAATACCCAACTTGTTGTACTTGGTTGCCAGCACACTGACCAGGTTAAAGGCAGACAGCCACCAGCAGGTTTCCTGGGCTCTCAGAGCTAGTGGCAGCCCTCTCCTCACTTTCAAAAAGTTACACTAGCATTTCAGTACTACAGTAGCTCTAAGGTTTGGGGAAACACAGTAATTAAGAGTTGATCAATTCATACTGCTGGCAAGCACTTGGAGGGGAAGAAAATTAGAGTATTCACTTAGTTAATGAAGCCCAGACAGAGACAATCTGAAGAGAACCGAGTACATAGAGCATGGCTCCACCTTGAGGTGTAAAAGCAGGTTTAGCCGCTGCTGGAGGAAGATAGCTGAGCCAATGCCTGCAGTGCTGCTCTCTGAGTAGTGGGCTACTTCATGGGGCAGGGATTAGAAGTAAAGCCACAATGCACGCCAGCACCTTTTAAAGCCCGTGTGCCACGTCACCCCATTCCCAGAGCAAAAGGGAACTTCCCTTGGCAAGCAATGCAGCAATCAGACCCACTTCCAAAAACATAAAATCAGATCCTGTAATCCAAGATCACCAGCCCTGGAAAGTCCACTGTAGCAATACAGGGTGGGCATTCAGAGCACAGCAGCTCAGTACACCTCAACTCTTCCACTGAGAACAAAGTCAAAATATTGAGTTTGCAATGTTAGCCGTAAATGGATTTTGCTCCTTCAATTCAGCCCAAGGAAAGCACCATCAACAACTAAGCAGGGATAAGGGAACCCAAATGACTGGGCACCGAGTCCCAGATTTTGGTCCAAGGTACCTGCTAAAAGTGAGCTGTAAGTGAAGGAGTTGGAGGCTAGATGTACCGGAGGGCAGACAAGGAAATACAGCAAGTTCTATTTCAGTTGTTGCTCTTGCTGTACTGTGCCTGGAAAGGGTTACATCTGCCTTTTGAACTGAGCTGCACAAAATTTCAACAGAGCAAAATAACTGCTTACTCCTGTAAAGCTAAAGTCCAAGCTCCTCTTGGGAAGGGAAGGACTAAATCTGCTGTTGGATGAAGCAAGATGCTGTGACAGTGGTTTGCACACAAGCAGCATTACGAGTTTGTTAGAACAGAAAAAAAGCAAAAAAAGAGCTAGGGAAGGAAGTGAGGGTGGGGGTTAGTTTTCCTACCAACAGGAGCTGACTCAGCTATCTTGAGTGCTGACTGCCCAAAACGTCAGACTGCAGAAGGCTAGAGCAATTTGCACGAGGGCTCGGGATGCGGGATTGGGACCGGATGCACTCACATCTGCCCACTGATACCCTCGTGTCCTCTTGCAACACACCCTTTGCTCTTCTAGTAGGAAGTATGCTGCACAGGGGCAGCTTCTCTCATCTCCTTCTTGAGAGATGCAGCTAACCTTGCTACTAGCAGATCAAAAGTTTAAAGAGTAGCTCTTAGGAAGTCAGAGCTGGTGAGCAGAGTTGACAGAGAGCCTCCAGAGACTTTGACCTCTGCTCATCCCAAACAAGAAGAGTTGCCAGGTAAACTCTTTTAGCACTTTGCTTCTGTTCGTACCTTGGGGCTGAAGCTTCACCCAGATCTCTGCTGCAGACAGTTTCAGTACAAAATGACTCCCAGATTTTTTTCCTGCCTCACCTGCTACACAGGGGGGAGGACTGAGTTTTAGGCTGTCATTAGGAGTTGTGTGGCTGTGTGAGATGGACAAGGTGAACAATATTCCTTGGGGACAGGAGAAACACTGACTGGAGCAGCCTTTCGGTTTCAGAGGTCGAGCATGAGCTGTCCAAGACGGGAAGCCTCGTTTTGAGGGCCTTTGGCCTGGAGCAGGATTAGAACTAGTTTAAAACAGCCCAATTTAAGTGTCTCTCTCCAGGCGCCCTTTATCTTCTACCTCCATGTGAACTCTATTGCATTGGTTAATACTGCACCAAACGCACAGCACAGATTCTCATCTCCAGCATGAGAAAGCTCAGGCTGTACTGATGCTGATCCACAAAGATGTTACTCTGTCACTGCCTGTAACATTAGCTTCCTGACCAACAGCAAGATTCACAAGGCTGAAGGATCCTTCCTTACAAGGCAGCCATGGAAGCTTGACAGCTCAAAACACTGGGGGCTGGTGGAAAACAGACCTGCAGAGTGAGATTCACACACACAGGAGCTATTTCTGGTCCAGCAGGTAGATTTGTTTATCCTCTGTCAGCAGCTGACACAGAGCAGAGCCTGAAGCCAACAGTCACTGACATGCATGGGACTGGCATTAGCCTAACTCAGGGCCCTTCCTCCTGCATCCTACACTGTGCCAGGGAACATGAGGACACACAAGTACAGCGATACCCATATGTCACTGAGCTACATCTCTGCCAGGGTGTTCTGTCTACTCAGGCACCTCCACTCAGCACAAGTACAGTGGTTTCTTGATAATTAACTTTCTTGAACAGGCTTACAGAAAATTAACCAGCAGAGCAGTGCTGTACCCAAAATTCCTCTGGTTACCTGACTCTTGATGCCTTGCTGAGTGATGAAGGTCTTCAGGGCGCCTGTTTCCGAGTTCTGAGGATAGCCAAAGTCCAGGATTTCTACGGAGGATAAAAGGAGGTTAGTTCAGAGCTGCAAGGTATAAACATGCCAGCTGTCCTAATAACCGTTTCTATGAGGAGATCCAATTAGTCCACAAACACTGCTTACAGCTTAAACGCTGGGGTAAGTTGGTGGAGCATTCCTTACCAAGAGAAAAGAAACAGATTTGCTAAATTGACTTCCCAGTGCAGTGTTTTGGAGAGAAGGGGTGATGGAAACCTGTCCAAAATACTGGTTTTTAAATACAACTGTACTTCAGGACTAAATATGAACTAGCCATGCTGTGTGTACAGGGCACAGGCAGGAGTTTTTCCAAAAACATCCAAAGGGCAAAAAAGGGTTTATTCAACAGCAGAATAGTCTACCATGACAGCACTTTCTTTAGGTTTTGATTTTCTTACAAAGACGTAATAAAAAACACCAACAGAAGAGTAGCATCACTGCAGGAGGGTCAGTGTGGGAGAGAAAGGGATGTTAGCTGCAGACAGCTAGTGTGCACTTAACACCACATGTAACAAACACAAAGTGCTCATGTAACCAAAACAGGGACAGCTCAAGGGCAACCTCCACAGGCAGGCTGCTGTCACCCGCTGCTGAAGGGACACTGCATTAATTATTATTCTTCTGTGGTGAAATTTGCAGCTATATCACTGGGAGAGAGAGGGCTGGGATGGAGCAGGTTGGGTTTTAGTCTCAGAACTGCTCCCAAGAGGCAACTCAAGAGTGGCAGCCAACCTCAGTATAACAACAGGCCTACATCTAAAGCAGGACCCATGCAGAACCTGGGGTTAGTACCAGCTACCTCATTTATACACGTTCACAATTTCCAACACTTCAGCAAAGTGATCCACACAAGGCTACAGGCTTCAGATGCTACCCTTGCTGCCAGTACAGGTGGCATTAGGAAGCACAATGAGCAATTCTGAACCATCACATATGCTAAAAATACTTCAAGGATTATTATCACAAACTAAGCTAAGGGTTTTAGAGCAGCCAAGCGCACTGCCACATAGCAGACAAAGGAAACAATCTCACCGTCCAGCAGCTCATAGATCAGCACGAAGTTGTTCTTTATGTTCTCCTCGCTGATCTTCCCAAAGTAGGCCGTCATCACGTCACACATCTTGTAGAGAAACTCGAACACCATGGCGGCGTTGACATTCTGCTTGGTGACGGCAGCCAGCCAGATGTTGGAGCGCTTGACGTGGAAGAAGCTGGTGCGGGCGATGTTGGTGACGGGCGAGCGCACCTGCTGCCGCGCATGGATGACATTGACGCGGAAGGCGTCGACGGCGTTGCGCCTGCGGGACCAGCGCCCAGCGTCAGG